TGCAGTTCTCGGGGTGCCCCCCTCCTCCTCTCCCCCTCCTCCTCCCCCTCCCTTCTCCAGTCTCTCTCCTCTCTCCTTTCCCTGGCTCTGACTTCTCTCTCCAGTTTCTCTCCTCCACCTCCCCCTCCCTTTTCTCCTCTGTGAACCGGTCACCCCTTTCCTCCCTCCACACCCCGCCAGGGCTCCCCCGCCGCTGGCCTCCCTCCCGCCCTAGTCCCAGGGCTGCTCTGAGTTTCCAGGTCCCAGCAGGAGGCGGGAGCCCACCCAGGGGTCTTCATGGGCTCTGGGCGGGAGGCGGGACGGCCCCAGGGCTGCCAAGCCAGAGGCCGGGGTGGAAGGGCCTTTGTGACACCGTCCTCTCTCTCTCCCCTGTCTGTCCCGGACTCTGGAACCTGCCTGGAGGAGTCGGGCCGGCCCCAGGCCCCGGGAGGAGGAAGCGAGCCGCTCAGGGACGAGGCAGGTAAGTGGCAGCCAGGACTGGGCCGGCCTCCCTGGGGTCAGCCGGGAGTGGGCTCCTTCTTGATTCCGCGGACCCCTGGACCCGCCTGAGCTCGGCGGGAGGGGGCTGCCGCCTGTCCGCCCCCAACCCCAGCCCTCCACCATCTCCTCCCCCAGGCAGAGCGAGCGCATTCGCATCGAGAACACCTCACCAACTCCCCCTTCGCAGAGGACATAGGCGCCCAGCGCCCCCGAGGCCCAGCACGGGACAGGACAGAGGCTTCCGGGGACCCCGACCTTCCCACAAGGCCCCCTCTCTCCAGGGAGGGGGCCGCGCGGGTCGCAGGCGGCCTGAGTCTCGGACTGCATGGAGGCCTGGCGAGGGGTGGAGCTGCAACCCAGCTGCCCTAGACCCTGGGAATGGTCCTCGCAAAGGACAGTGACCAGAACATGGGACGGGGCGGGGGTGGGGGGCTGGGGGAAGGAGGGGAGCTTTTCAGAAACTCTGTAACAATAAAATTTGCTCCTTGTCGGTCTGTGCACGTCACACTCGGCGAGCTTCCTGTGCGCCAGCGTAAACCCGGGGCTCCGGTCTGGTCCTTCTGTGGGGAGGTTGGCGCCTCTGTCGCCGCGGCAACGCACGTGGCAGCTGGGGTCTGGTCTGCAGTCGGATGGGCAGCCTGCTCTAGGAACTGGGCCAGGCCGAGTCCCCCTCGTAATGAGACCGTTCCGCCCTGCCGAACGGAAGGGGGCGCGCAGGGCTGCGGCTGAGGGCTGTGGACGCCCCAGTTAACCGGCGCCGGATCCTCGGCGCCGGATCCTCGACGGGTGAAAGGGATGAGCCTGCACGACCACTTCCAGAAGCCACATGCTACGGTGCACAATTTGGGGTAGTGTGGGGAGGGGTTTAAATACCAAAACTAGCCTCGTATTTTAAAAGATTGTTGGCCACACACCACGTGCTAGGGACACCTCCATGCTAACCTGAAACCCGTCCCGGGAGCGGGCGACATTTTGTGCGGCGAGGGGGGGCCTCCGAGGGGTGAGGCAGGAAACAGGAGGGGAGCACCGCTGAACGCTCACCTCGCGGAGGCCCTCAGAGGTCAGGAGGCTGGGGAGAAGGCTGGGGTGGGGGTCCAGGAGGGAACATGAGCTCACTGGGGACGGAGAGAAGGGACACGGAAGGACGAGGAGGGGTGGGGCTCCGAGGCTGGGTGAGGACGGAGCCTGTGGGAGGAGGGACGAGGAGAGGTGGGGCTCCGAGGCTGGGTGAGGACGGAGCCTGTGGGATCTGATTGGCTCATGAATGGAGGCTGGGGAAGGGCAAGAGGTAATTAACAAGGAACAGATCAGAAACTAACAGGCCTCAGGGGCCAGGACTCTGTCCTGAAGGCACCGGGGAGCCATGGGAGGGTTGTGAGCAGGGGAGAAGCAGGATCAGCTCGGGTGTCAGAAAAACCCCCATGAGGGGGATGGGCTGGAGGGGGTGCTGGAGGCGAGGAGGCGGCTGGGCCGATTAAAGGCAGGGAGGAACAGCAAGGCGCCCGCCCGCGAGGTGGAGCAGATTTCTACAGAAGCTCCAACTGGGGGCTGGTGGGTGACCCCGACGTCCTCAGTGGTCCCTGAGACACTTCCTGGGGCAGGAACCGTGGGTCTGGAGACCAGAGGGGTCTGAGGGGGAGGTAGTTTGGGAATCATCAGTGCAGTCGCCCTCTGAAACCTCCAGTGTGGATGGGTGGGGGCTGAGACTGTCCCCCCCAAGCTCCCACCTGATGGCGTGGCCTGCAAATACACACATGTGTGTGCAAAATGATGCAGGTGCCTGGTGATTCCCGGAGGAAATGACCCAAAGGTCCACTGACAGAGGACCAAGAAATCGACTCAGAACCAACCATGTCACAAACGAGAGCACGTTTTATATCAGATAAAACGCTCCCGAGCCTATATCAAGTGAAGGGTGAAAAGCGAGAGCCACACACGTTTGCAAAACTAGTGACAGCCACACTGGCTTGTGTGCGTAGAGACCTCCATGGCAACGCGCCTGAGCCTGACCTCAGGTGGCCCCTGGCGAGAGAAAGGGTATCGGGCCGGGCCGAGCAGAAGGCTTTTTGATTTGGACCCCCCAGTACCTTTTGAGGTTCATGCTACACCCCCGGAGACGCTGGCCAACAAAATGAAACCTTGCTGGATGAGCTCTCCAGGCGCAGGTAAGAACTGGGGGAGAAGTTTAATAAGGACAGCGCCCCGGGGAGCCTGGACTAGCTCTGACAACGACTAGAACGTACCACAGAATATCTGTGCCGGCTGGAGCACAAGAGGAAGTCGTAGAAGAAATGAATGTAATTAGATAAATACAAAGCTGCGTGGCGAATGACTGGGGAGAGAAGACACTTGCCAGTGAGACAAAGGAGCAGGAACTCCAGTCAGGAGCACTGTCCAAGACAGCATCACCTCTGCAGTCAGCTAAAGCTGCGGTCCCCAACCTTTGTGACACCAGGGACCAGGATCCTATGAGAATCTAACGCCTGGTGACCTGAGGCGGAGCTGAGGCGGGGACGCTGGCGCTGGGGGGCGGCTGCAGACGCAGATGAAGCTTCACTCGCCCACTCACCGCTCCCCTCCTGTGCGGCCTGGTTCCTAACAGGCCACAGACCAGTAGCGGTCTGCAGCCTGGGGGCTGGGGACCCTGTGTAGAGGGAGTGACACAGGGTGGAAGGCCCCTGGGGGGACTCTGAGCGTCGGAGGGCTCCTTCAGGTCTCGGCAACATCGGCCCACCCAGAGGATTCAGACGCGCGAGTGCCACCGCTGAGCGAAGGCCAAGGACGCCGTCAGAAATCACGCCGGTGTCACCACAAGGCGCAGTGCCGGGGAGACGCCTGTTGGGGGTGCTGTCCCGTGGCCGGGCCACTGGCAGAGGGCGGCTTCCTCTGCCCAGCCACTCCGGTTCCAGTGTCGCCTCCGTCGCCCTCACCTTCGAGGGAATGCCCCTGGCTGCCTGGGCTCCGGTGACCTTCCTGGGGCACACACAGGACCAGGCCACGGGGCACTGAAGACTGTGCAGGAGCCAGGAGCAGCGCCGGACAGTGGGCAGAGCTGGTGCCTCGTGTGTCACAAAGCAACCCAACAGCCACCCCATCTGCACACGCCCCGCATGCATGCGCACACACACGCACACGCACGCACACGAACATGCACACGCACACGCGGGCCACCTCGAGCCAGGCCAACAAGTGCATCTGGCTGCTGGAAGTTGTAACTTTCCAAAACTTTATATATTTCAACATATTCTCCTGTTAGTTTTCTCTTTTAAAATTTACTTTTTTTTTTATTTTTAGGTGAAACAACTCTTGGTTGATCTCACAGATTGCAAGGACTTTGTCAGCTTACAATCCCTTATTTTTCCCACCTACACCACCCGGTCTTCCTAGGTGGTCTCCCATCCAAGTACTAACCAGGCCCAACCCTGCGTAGCTTCTGAGACCAGACGAGATCGGGCACGTTAAGGGTGCGTGGTGGGGAGAAAATAAATGAAAAAGGCCCAGCCGTCCCCACCCACTGCCACGTGCCAAGGAAGACGGTCCAGGCAGGGAAGGGTTTACACTGCCAGGCCCCAAACTCTGCGAAATGTCATTAGTTGTTCTCTTCTGCTTTTAGACATCGTTTCCTCCAGCCCAGGAGCCCACGGAGGGCCTGGCGACTGGGGCAGATGCAGGGCAGGGCAAGGCCCCTGGGCGGGACTGGGGAGGGACGGAGCGAGGCACCCACAGCCAGCCCGGGCCTGCTCTGTGCCCTCGAGGGACTATGTCAGCCATGTTAGAGGCCATCTAGCTGGCGGGGCAGGCGGGGGAGGCGGGGTGAGGACAAAGGCACAGAAGCTGGAGAGAACCGGCCTGTTCCCGGACTACAGGGCTTGGGGGGGCTGGGGTACCAGACAAGGGATCAGGAGGACCCAGGAGCTTGGGCTCCATCCTGTGGGGAAGCCAAGCCTCTGGGGGTACAGTGGGGCCCAGAACTCGGCCTCCCCCTGCCGACAGGAACGCCAGGGCCCAACGGGAAGGCACTCCTGGGGAGGCTGCACTCCCACCCTCCGGGATGGGGGGCCGGTGAATCCTTCTGGGGAAGACCAATGCCACAGGCACGAGCAGGAAGGGAACCCCTGGGTGAGAGGATGGGGTGCTCGCTGGCCCTGGGCCACTCACCGGCCACTGCCCCCTCCGCTACCCCCCCCACCGCCGCCACCACCCTGGCCACCGGCATCTGGCGCTCCCGACATCATGAGGAACAGGACGACCGGAACGATGTACATCCACTGTGAGCCAGCCAGATGGGAGGATGCGGCAACGGACAGACAGACACAGAAACAGAGAGGGCTGAGCGTGAGCAGCGCTCTCCCCAGGGCGAGGAAGGCGGGGGCCGCGTGAGGAGGGGGGCCCAGGTCCCCTACATCACTACGGGGCGGGGAGGGCAGGTGGGGGGCGGGGAGGGCGGAGGCGGGAGGGGGCGCGTCCTCACTCAGGCCTCCTGTGGTGACAGCGCGGGCCCAGGGGCGGCAGGACGCAGGGCGGTAAGCAACACGGCCCCCCCCAGGATGAGGTGCCACTGAGGAGGGAGGGGGCGCAGGTCAGGGCCAGCGGGGAAGGCAGAGCCAGTGCAAGCGAGCCCTCGGCCTCTCGGGGCCTCAGCCTCCCCGCAGCTCAGCTGCCAAGGCCATGCTGAGGCCGGAAGGCCCTGCCCCGGCCCTGCCCACCACCCCAGGCCTGGGCTCAGGTGGGGCAGCCTCCTCCAGCCCCAGCACCCCAGCTCCAGAGCCAGTTCAGGCCCGCCCCCTCCTCAGCTCCAGACCGGCCTGCTGGGTGCCTCCGTCCTGAGCACTGCCACCCCAAACACCCCTCCCAGAGCTGCCCATCTCCGGGGCCTGGCTGGGGGACCCCGCCTGCGCCCTCCGTCCAACCAGCCTGTCCCTCTGAAATCTCGGCCGTCTTTCCTCTAGCCTCACGGCCCTGGCCCAGCCCAGGCCTCATCCTCTCCCCCAGACCCTCGTCCCAGCACCACCCCCGCGAGCTGCCCTGACCTCAGCCATCCTCTCTGCCCTTCCCCCAAACAGGTCTCCACTCGAGACTGGCGCCGGCCGTGCCACGTCTGTCCCACCCCGTGTGCCCCAGCTCCCGCACTACCCGCGCTGGGCCAGCCATTCACCGGGACTGGACGCCCATGACCACCACTGTGGGTGGCCACGGGCAGAAAAGCAGGGCTCCAGCGCTCCCCGCTCCAACCAGGCCTGGGCTTGGCCCGGGGCCCGTGGCGTGCGCGCAGAGGCCCGGAGGACGGGGAGCAGGGCGGGCCCCACTCACGTATTTGGCGAAGAAGGACTTCTGCTCCTGTGGGTTCTTGGCCTTCTGGGCCTGCTCCATCTCCAAGCGCTCGATGAAGGCCGCCGTCTCAGGCCTGCAGCGCAGGAAGGACCCAGGGCGAGGGGATGGTTGGCTGGCGAGGACTCTGGCGAAGGCCGGGAATGGCCTCGCTGGGACCTCTGTGCCACCCCCCACCCTCCTGCCCCGGCTGTACCCGTCGAGCCTCACCCTGGAGCCGTAACCGGCGGCTGCAGCCGCACTGAGGTGTTGAACAGCTCCAGGTCCACGTCCTCCACCTCGTGGCCTCGGCAGCCCCCGGGATGTGTAACCACCGACAGGCCCACCACGTTGCCAGCCACGTCCACGTGCAGGGTCAGCTGGTCTGAGAGGTGCGACTCCACTAGAGAGCACTGGGAGGGGTGGGGTCAGGAGGGGAGGGGACAGGGGCTGTTGCCCAGGCCACGCCCACACTGGGACCCCTGAGCCTCCTGCCCCTCCCACGGCCCCAGAAGCATCTTTCAAAGCCTCCACGGCTGCTTGCCCGCCTCAGGCACAAGCCCATGAGGCCCTGGGCTGCCCTCCTCAGCACCCACCACCCGGTCTGTCGCCCTGCAGCCCGGGAGACTTTTAGGGCAAGGCCAGGTCCCAGTTCTCCCCGCCCGCCGACACTGGAGCATGGACGACTGAAGCTGGCCAAGCCGGCGGGAGGAGCCAGGACAGGCCAGTGCCCATCACTGACTCACCGCGGGGATGAAGGAGGAGACGAAGCTGCCGGCTTCCGAGTCGTCAGGGACCCCAGGCCGCCGCGGGACCCGAACACGGTACAGGCCGTTCAGGGCTGCCACATCCTGCAGGGCAGGCAGAGGGGCGGCGGTGAGGGGGACGGTGCCCGCCACTCGCTGGGCGACACTGCCCTCCCCCAGCCTCACCCCGCCAGTATCCCCAGCTCCCTGGCCGGCCGAGCTGAGCCAGCCCAGGACTTCTCCCACTGGGCTGGCCCTGCTGGTGGGTGAGACCAGGAGCTGCCCCACCAGGGGGAGAAGTGACCACGACGAGAGCAGGGCCCAGCCCAGCATGGAGTGAGTCCCGAAGACACTTTCCCCAGGCCTGGCTCCAGCCGCACCTGCCGCTCGCCCTGCACCTGGACTCCCCAGTTACGTGAGCAGCGAATTCTCTCAGCGGGTGGCCCTGACAGAGAATCGCACGGCCACCACCCAGGAGGGCGGCCGGGGCGAACTTCGCCCCAACACCTCCCATGGGGAGGGCACCCACGGAATAAGCCTGGGCCCCCAGCCTCCCTTGCAGCTACCTCTGGCCAAAAGGACAGAGTGGAAGTGGACCGTGGCAGGTTTTGCCAGATTTCCCTGAAATATGGCTGCTCCCTCAGCCCCTCCTTCTTCATCCTGTTGCCTGAAGCCCCAGCAACTCCCTACGCCACCCTCGGGGAGGCCGAGCAGGCCTGGGCGGAGGAGCCTGGCCCTGGAGGGTGCTGCGAAGCCGGGTGACGGGAAAAGTAACAATGTTTTGTTCAACCGTGGCGATCGTGGGGACATATTTCTCCCGTAAGCAGCCTCATTCTGACCGCGGAAAGCCTTGGCTGAATCTGAAAGGGTGACAGGAGCCGGTCGTGTGAAAACTGTGGGGGAGATGGCGTGCTGGGCGGAGGCCTCAAGGCATGCATGTCACACTCTAGGGCACACGTGTCCCCCCGCCCTGCCTGCTGAGCCCCAGGTCCCCTCTCCTCACCCGGAGTCGGCCCCGCTCCTCCTCACTGAGCTGCCGCTGTGACAAGGATAAGGTGCTGTCCTGCTGGTTCCAGAGCAGCGAGCCCCGTTTCCGGAAGTGGGCGTTGTCATCTGTGGGGAGCCTGAGCGGAGTGAGCACCCCGCCACAGCACCCTTCCTCAACCTGGTCATTCCCCCCCTGCAAACTGGGGAGACCTTACCACATCCTCACAGAGCAGCCTAGGGCAGACACCTGAACCCCACAGCTCCTAAGCCCTGCTGGTGCCTTGCCAGGTGACCCACAGATAGTCACATAACCTCTGAGCCTCAGTTTCCCCACCTGCAAAATATAGGGGAAGCGGAGCTCAGAAGCTCCCAAGAGTGGGGCCGGGACCTGTCACAATCGGTGGGGTTTTCTGGGGTAGATGCCAGGGTCTGACTTAAGGGCGTCTGCAAAGGCTCCTGCATTCGGTGTATATAACAAGTGGCCCTGAGTCTGGGGTCTCAGACTCGATTATTAACCCCAGGGCTGTACTGACGTCTGTGCCCTGGGAATCTGGACACCTGAATCGTGGCCATTGTTTACGCTGGGCTGTGGAGTGGGTCCCAGCTCTGCCATTCACTTACGAAAGGACTTTGCATGGTGCCTCTCTGATCCTAAGTTTCCTCTTCTGGAAAATGAGACTATCACTAACACCTACCACCTTGCAGGACTGTTGTGAGGACGTTTCGAATTCATACATGCAGAGCATCTAATCACTAGTACAGGGCACGGGTGACTAGTGAGAAAAGTCCGCTCTGGAATTATTACTGTTTCACTGACCCTCCTGAAACAAATTTGTGCTACAGCTATGAGACTAGTTAAAGGCAGAGTTTCTATTCTCTCGGGCCCACCCCGCCAGCTCCCCAGTGTGATGCAAACAGCCTCCAAGGAGCAAAGCTTTTAGTAAGTGGATGGCGTGTCTCACATGGCCTGACACCCAGACCTGAGCTCCTGACTTCACGAGGCACCAGGTCAAGTGTGCAGGCGAAGACTGCTGGACTCACCGATCTCAAACGAGTGCTCCAACAACAGCCCCACGGTGCCACAGCCCTCGCTCTCTCGGCCTTCCATCCCAGCCTGCAGGTGGCAGAGAGGGCCCCAAGTGAAGACTAACAGAGCCCTCCGCGGTGCTGGACCCCCAGACGGACCGGCGGGCTGAGAGAGGAGCCTTATTTTCATACATCCAAACACTGATGCTTCCCCATGATTCCACCGGGAACCACCTATTTCATGAAAACGTTAAGTAAGCTCTAGACGGTTCCCAGAAAACCAGAGCCTGCGAACAAGCGTAACCTCGATTCCAAGACAACTATCTCCAGGTCACGTTCACACTTAGTATCATAAATATTCCTGAATTGAAGAGCATCCTGCGCTTCCTTCCCAAGCTAATATTCAAGCGGCCTTGTATTTACCTTCATGGCCCCCCAAATCACGAGGCCGCTCGTATTCCGCCTCTTATCAAACACATACAAGGTTCCACACCGTCTTTCTCTCCAAATCTCCAAATTTCTTCTACCTCCGATTCACCTCCCCGCCCCATCACTCTACCCCCTCGCACCTGCGCGACCTCGTTTCCAGACCTTAATCCTGGAGCTCGAGATCCCGCCCGCCTCATGCATATTCAGGAGGCAGAACTGTCCGCTCTCTCGAGCCGCCCTGACGTCAGATTCGCCAGGATTCCATCCGGGCCACACTTCCTCATGCATATTCACGACTGTGGATCCCCGGAATTAGAACGTGGAGAGGACATTCTGGCCCCAACCTTCTCCTTGGGTACAGCCGCGTCTTCTCCGCACTGAATGCCCAGGTGCCGAGATCTCGCCCGAGCCCCGCCCCCTCATGCATATTTACCACCAGACCCTTCCTCACTATGCCCTCGCTTTATCCCAGTCGTGCGGCCGCTGCCTGCTCAGAAGTGCAACCTTGCTTTCCACGGCTTTCACCTCTTCTTCCCTCTCGGCCCTGCGCAGCCTCGTTCCCACCTCTACCGACTTCAAGGCCCGAGACCCACGATTCCCGTCAGCCCCGCCCTCCCGTGCCCACCAACGAGTGCTCACCCCCCGCACAGCGGGCCCGGACCGGCACCCGCTGCCTCGCGCTCGGCTAGGGGCTGCCGCCGCCATCAGCAAGAGCAGGAGCAGCCGAGTCGTCCCGCCGCCGGCCGCCGCCATCTTGGCCCTTCCCAGCAGCCAGCGCGCGGGAGCGAGCCGGGCGCCTCCCGCCGCGTCTGCGCCTGCGCCTGCGCCTGCGCAGCAACGCCCGCCTGCCTCTGGGGCCCGACGTGCGCCCGGCCACCGCCTTCCCTCTGGGCACCGCCCCTCCGTGACGTCACTATCACGGGCGTCTCCCGGCCCGCCGCGTTGTGGCGTCACACAGACCTCGGCCCCGCCCACCGGTTTCTTCTCCCGGCACCTCCCTCCGCTCCTCCCAAGGGGCGGGGCGTCGCGATGAGGCGGGGGCAGGAGTCTAAGCCGGCCCTCGTTGGAGCAGGTGGGGCGGGACCAGGTGGGATGTCAGGTGAGAAGCGGAACCAGGCCTGGAGGGGTTGGACCAGGTGAGGGACGGGGCCGGAGATGCGGAGACCCATAGCCGGTAAACCCCCACCCTCAGCGTGGGGCTGTCCTGAGCCCTACTGGCGGGCTGGAGGGGGGAATTCCCGGCCCAGCCTCCTGGAATAGACCCCCGAACTTCCGTCCCCTAGAACGCGCCCTGGTTCCAGCCTGTCCCACGGGCCGGCCTGGACGGCTCCAACGCCACCTTCTGAGCGGCGAGTTCGACCAGCTGCGAGACTTCTCCATCTTTGAGAGCAACTTCGTGCAGGTGTGGTGCCCCAGGACACCCTGAGCTGGAGCCCGGGCCTGAGCCCCGACCTCCTGGCTTGGGGAACCCCTGCTCTCTCCACCTCTGATCACTCCCCCATATCGTCCATCTCTAGGATTCCTCACCGATACCTCACCCCCCAAACTCCTGAACTTCCAGACCTTTAGCTTCTCTATGAAACCTGGCCTCTGATTCCCTCGGTTGAGTTTCCCTGACTTACCTGTATGCATCTTGACCTTTGACCCCAGAATCTCAGACCCCTGACTTGGTGTTTAATTCACTTGGGCCTGACCCTTAATCCTACCAAGATTAGTGACTTCTGATCCCTCCCCCATCCTGCCCCCCCACCACCATCTATCCAGCTTCCCTTGACCTTTGACCCCAGGATCTCAGACCCCTGACTTGGTGTTTAACTCACTTGGGCCTGACCCTCAATCCTACCAAGAATTAGTGACTTCTGATCCCTCCCCAATCCTGCCCCCCCCCACCACCATCTATCCAGCTTCTAACCCTTCCCCCCACTCCTGGACCCCAGGTGACCCGGTTAGGAGAAGTCGCCAACAAGGTCACCATGGGAGTGGCAGCCTCCAGTCCGGCCCTGGAACTCCCAGACCTTTTGCTGCTGGCAGGCCCCGCCAAGGAGAATGGACACCTACAGCTCTTTGGGTGACTGCCCCCACCCCAGCCTAGACCTGCTCCTTCTCCCTGGGCATCCTGGGCCCCCTGAAGCGCCGCCTCTCACCCATATGACCACCAGGGCCGGGTGCTTTGGATGGCTACCAGCCCTCTCTGTGCTGCTGGCCACCCGGGAGAATGAGGACAGGGCATTTCACAGAGGCTAGAAATCAGGGGTAAATAGTCATGAGGGGTATAGTCCTCGGCCACATCCTGGCAGGGGTCAAGAGAATGACCTTTTATGCAGAGAGTGCTGCATGCTAGGCGTCCCCCGCATGCACATCATCTCGTCTCTGACATCATACTCTCATATGGTGGGTCCTCTTAGCGCCATCCTCCAAAGAGGTAAACTGAGACCCAGATTGGGGAGCAGCAGCCGCTTGCCCAGGGTCTCACGGTGGGTCAGGCGCGGGCTGGGATCAGAGCCTCAGGCTCCCCTGACAGAGACCTCTCGATTCTCCAGCCCCTGTGCCACACTACACGCTGCCCCTGAGGTCTTCGTGCTTTCGCAGAGAAAGTAATGCAAATCCCACTCCAAGGTACAAAACACACACGGCATAAAATACACTTTTCTCCCGTCCTAGGCTCCTGTCTCCAACTCCAGCTGCAAATGCCAAAATATTTACACGAGTTGAGTATCTTTACAGAGACATTCTGCTGGTGGATTTCACTTTTTTGACTACATCTCACAGTTAATGGGCGGGGAGAAGGAAAAAAGGAAGAAAGGCCAACTCACATTGTCCCCCCCACACACACACACACACACACTCACAGCCACAATCCTTTGCAGTTCTGAGATTCACCAAGATCTTTTTGTAAGTGAAGTGGCAGAATCTGACTCTGATTCTGGGAGCTAACTGAAGGCTACTTACAGCCTTTACTTACCCCCCTCTATAAATTTAAAACATTTCACAGAGCGGCATTTGGACGCCCTGTGCTGCGCTGGACATTTTCCCATCTGCAATGTTCTTTTTCTTTCCAGTGCTAATAGTATCCCACCAGCTGATCTCACAGCTCACTGAGTCACAGCTTGCAGCTGGAAGGACTCAGGATGGTGCTGAGGGGGGCTTTGACCCCCAGTCTCCTTCAGCACCCTCCTCCCCCCGCAAACATGCCATGCAGGTAAAACCATGGAGCTTGCTCTGCAAACTCGGCCTCAAGACTCACCCCGGCCCCTCCCTCCTAACTAGCTCATCTCCGATGGGCAACTGGTGTCTCTTGCCCCTTTAAAAACAGCAGCAGGTACATGCCCTATGCTCCTTTTCCTCCGCTCACTCCCTCAACATGCCGTCAATATTCACTTCATAGCAACGTGAGGACAGCCACCGGGTCCTCTTTTGGACATACACGACTGAACTAGCTCTGTCCCCTGGGACACCAAGCTTGCATCTGCCCTCTTGCTGGTACAGCGCAGTGGGGAACATCCCAGAATGACTGTCTGACGCCAGACGGCCTGGGTTCAAACCCTGGCTTCTCCTCTTCACTGGCTTTGGCCGAGTTCCCTACTGGTCTGTGCCTCAGTTTCCTAATCTGGAACATGGGGAGGAGAGAGAGCACACCTCCGGACTGCAGGCGGGTAAACTGAGAAAATGCGTGTAAAGCGCTTGGAACAGCGCCCGGCACAGAGCTCGTGCTCTGTAAGCGTCAGCTGTTAATGCTTCCGTTTGGGGACCGCAGCAGGTGGAATGCTCCACTGAGGGACGCTGAGGTTGCGTCGGGGGCCTTGGGGTGCAGCGGCCGGGGGCCACCCACGTGCACGAATGTGAGAGTATCTAAGATCGATTCCTAGAGGTAGAATTGCTGGGCGGGAAGAGGGTAGGTGGCACCCCAGCGCTGTGGTTAGGAACACGGACGACTTGGGTTCAAATCCCACTGTGATCTGGGACAGGTTACCCACCCTGTCTGGATGGCTCCCTCCTCTGCCTTGTTGGACCTTGAATCAGGCTGGGGGCCTGAGCAATTTATTTATTCAAATACCCAACAAGCATCTGTTGAGCACCTACTGTGTGTCAGTCTGGATACTGGGGGAGCAACAGTGAACAAAATCGGGCCAAAATCTCTGCCCTCGAGCCCACCTTCTACTGGGAAGGCAGACACAGTAAATGGTCATTTGTCCGATGGGGTAAAAGGTCTATGGAGACATCTGGGGGTCACGGGGAGGTCTGCCAGCGTGGACGAGGTTGCAGATAGGCCAAGGGCGGTAAACAACCCCCCCCACACACACACACACACCCCGGAAGATGCCTCTTGAGAAAGAGAGCGAGAGATGAAGGAGCCGAGCTGTGGCGGCGGATTTCAGGCAGAGGGCACAGCCTGTGCAAAGGTCCTGAAGTAGGACCCGCCCGGCAGGTTTAAAGAGCCGGTGTGGCTGGAGGCCCGGGAGCGGGGGTAGGAAGCGCGCGGCGAGGGCAGAGAAGGAACAAAGCGCTGACCCCGCAGGCTCGGAGGCCCCAAGGCCCAGAGGCCCGGGGAGGTCCTCGCTGTTACTGACCGGCGCCCCCTGGCGCCCGCGTAGGGAACAGACCGGGGCCCCTAAGGGAAACGGGGGTGGCTGGACCCGGGTGGACGGTGCGGGGAGTTAGAAGACGTCGGATTGTGGATACATTTTAACGGCAGAGGCGACGGCCTTTGGTGGCAGGACTGGATGAGGGTGACAGAGGAAGCTCCAAATGGATACTATTAGCACTGGACAGGAGCGGCTGCCTGTCCGAGTCTGGGGGTTAGGAGGAAGGACAAGCGGGGGACACAGTGCGCCCTGTGGATGGCAGTTGGGGGTAGATGGATAAGAGTCCGGAGGCGGCGAAAGTGAGAAAGGACCCCTTCCTGGCAGAGGGGGGCGGCCCGGGAGGGCTGCGGAGCCGGGCGGGGGGAGGG